GTCTTGGTTCACTGTGATCAAGTTAAAATTCAGATTTAAAGAAAAACATATAGGATCTTTACATTTTGGCAATCATTCAGTGAATTTGTAGTATTAGTATTGTAGAAATTTGCACTTAGTTTGGATTAGAATAGTATTTCAAGTAATGAAATAACCATAACTTGCTCACTTGTTTTTGTCTGAAGTAAACCATAAATATGCTATGGTTGAATTCTTGTATTGTCAAAAAATTTGTTTCAGATTCTACTTTAAAGGAGATGTTTTGATTTATTTTTTTTAGGGAATTATAGTATGGAATGTGGTTACCTATGGCATGGGTGTCAAACTCAATCACGTTACGTGACGTATCGTGATGTATGATGACATTTTCTGCCTTTGCAGAGCTGGGGTGGGCGGGGCCTGTGCGTGATGCATCCAGCCCATGGACCACCAGTTTGACAGGCCTGACCTATATTCCTTTGCTTTACAGGTGCCATTGTCATGGAACGACCAAACGTAAAATGGAGTGATGTTGCTGGACTAGAGGGAGCAAAAGAAGCCCTCAAAGAAGCAGTAATACTACCCATTAAATTTCCTCACCTTTTTACAGGTAAAGGCAAGTGAATATGTAATCAGTGCCTTCTTGGCCTATCCTCAGGTGTTTGAGATACAGAGTACAACTAAGGTAATTTAGCTTTCATAAGAAAGATACATGCAGTGTAAGTGAGGCAATACAGTTAAGAAATCTGTTCTCGAAGAATAATAGTTATGGCTAAATGCAAGAATGTGAATGTATGGAATTACCTGATTGGCTGTTTTTGGACTACTTAATGTTATATATCTCTATGGAATTTTGTTGCTATGTAATGGAGTAAAAATTTCAGTTCATGTTTTTTGGTTGTATATTTGTTTTGTTCTTTATGCTAGTCATGTGACTGTTTGAATAGACCGCACAAATTCTTGAACCAATGCCCAAGATTTGTATCTTTATTACTGAAGAACTTGCTGGATACTGGAGCTTTCCATCAAATGCATAGAACTAGTGTAATGTAGAACTCACTGAAGTGAGACTTAAGGCTGGAAACACCTAGATTAGTACCTCCCAGTCAGTTTAATTAACTATATTTGGATATAAAATAAGCTAAGCAGAGGCATTAGGTACTGACTATGTTCCTGGAAGGGAAGAATAAAAAATGATAATATTTTTCATCATCTAAATAAAATCTTACTCTGCCCAGAAATTCTAACTACGAAAGCTATTAATCTTATTCTTTAATAGAAGTTCATAAAAAACACTCAACTTTGGTTTCGGTTTCATTGTAGAGAAGATTGGTCAACATAAAATTTGTGTAATTATATTACACAAATAAATAATCCTTGATTTACAACAGTTCATTTAGTGCCCATTTGAAGTTATAACAGCACTGAAAAAAATGACTTATGACCGTTTTTCACACGACCGTTGCAGCATCCCCATGGTCACATGATGAGTATTCAGATGCTTGGCAATTCATTCATATTTATGACGGTTGCAGTGTCCCCGGATCATGTGATCCCTTTGTGCAACCTTCTGACAAGCAAAGTCAATGAGGAAGCCAGTTTACTTAACAACCATGTTACTAACTTAACAACTACAGTTAACAACTGTGGCAAAAAAAGATCATAAAATGGAGCAGAACTCACGTAACAAATGTCTCACTTAGCAACAGAAATTTTGGTCTGTTGTTGTAAGTCAAAGACTATCTGTATTTCTTGTTTTAAACCAGCCATCCCCAATCTGGTACTATTGAACTACATTGGGATAATTAATTGCAGTATTTTAGTTAGTATGGCTAACAGTATGGGTCTAATGACATTTGGGACAATTTCATTATTGTGATGAAGAACATAATGTTCCAGGGTCCGAGTTATTTTAGTATGGATGTTAATCCCCCAAGTTTTGGGATTCTGTAATTCCACTTCCAAGACAAGTGTGGCTTGGTATGTGGAATACAAGTAGCTTCTCCACTTTGTCCCTATGAGTCTCTACTTGGTGTTAGCTTTGGACAGAAAGAAATCTTGCTAAGGATGGCCATGTTTGTATGGATTGCAGTAATTCCCACAATCACACCTATGATCCAGTCTGCATTGAGTGCTGCACAGAATTCCTGTGAGAACACAGCCAAGTGACATCAGCTCTATCCAATTCACAAATGCAGCTCAACATCCTTCTCTACGATTAAGTTCTGACCTGGAATTAAATAACAAAACCACTAGGCTGACCAAGCTGTCCAGATTAAGCCTGCGCAAAAAGGGAATGCAAAAATTGCAGGATGTTTTTTGAAAAGTTTGTGACTGTACGTGCTAAATGAGCAGGGAACTTACTAGATTTTCAGAAAACATACGTATCATGTCACTCATTTATTTTTAGGGAAGCGAACTCCCTGGAGGGGGATCCTTCTGTTTGGACCTCCAGGAACTGGGAAATCCTACTTGGCAAAAGCTGTTGCAACAGAAGCTAACAATTCTACATTCTTCTCTGTATCATCTTCAGATCTTGTCTCAAAATGGTTGGGAGAGAGTGAAAAGTGAGTAGTAACTGATCAAATAATTTAAACATTTGGAATCTTAGACCCATAAATAAATTTAAATAGACAACTCTTGCCTAACCTAAAATGTTCAAAGTAGATACAGAAATAATTACACTGTGGAGCAAGGTAGGCAAGCTGCCACTGATACCTGAGTAGAATTGCAATATTCTGGCATGAAGCTTCTCTTCCTCTCCCCATTCCAATTTATTATATTCAATCTATGCCGGAAATAGAAACTATGGGTATTTCTGGTTAAGTTATCCTTATGAGGACTGATTCTATTGTTCTCCATCGCTCTGTCATGTATCACATGTATAATTCACAGCAGCAAGACCCATTTTATAATAGTTAACTATTTTTAAAGAATTATTCAATGACAGGTACATAAGAAGAAAAAAAATCAAGAAAAAAACCAATGTATTATCCTGAATTTCTTACTGAGGAAAAAGTAAAACTGTGGAGTTTATAAAATAATTTATACTTCTGTACAGGTGTAAAAAAAATTTGACGGCTTTGCATCTTTCATGATGCCAATTGATGGGGAAAATGCTAGGATCTAAGATATCTTGTTGGGAAAATTGAATGCTGAGCTGAATAAACAGCTAAATTAACTGATTTTTTGTCTTCTTACACTATTTAGCAAAATAATGTGCTGCTACGCTGACCAGCAATTTTCAATGTCTGATCAACATTGTCTAGATTTTGATTCAAATCTAGGCATTGTTAGAATTTTATTCTCTGCTGGAAGAGGACAAATACCATCTTCTGCTCTCTGGAGGACTACTTTCAGATAAACCGTTCCATCATATCTTCATCAGAATAAGCATTTTTGCTTTTAATTACTGGGCCCCATGTCCCCTCAACCATTCATTGTCCATATTTGTATGGACAGTCCAACAGTGGAATGAACTAAATGTAAATTTTATGCAATTTTTATGTGATCGAGGGATAAGACTAGGGAATAAAAAGATGTTAGGATGATTAAATAAACATAATATCAGAAGAAAAGATGGTTTTATAAATTTCTTTTGTGGATTACTGCCCAAAACATGTGTCCTTCACAATTATATATTTTAGAAATGTTTAAGACCATCCAATTCCTATAACAACTATTTATCACAGATTATCTAACTCCTTTGCAGAAAGGATGTTTGCTCCGGTGATCATTAAAAGGTGTTCAAGAATTTGTAACTTTACAGTTTAATTTGGGAAAACGTGTATAAAGCAATTGAATGAAAGTCATTTTTATCTGAATGACTGATATCTTAACTAAAATTTAATTGCAAAAGCTTTAAATGCCTTCCTACATATGGTAGATTAACATTTTACATTAACATTTTGTACACATAAAAAGTGGTTGTCTTGCTATGCTTTATCACTGCCTTTTACTTTAATATAATTTAAATTGTTTCCTAGGCTGGTGAAAAATCTATTCCAACTGGCCAGAGAAAATAAACCTTCAATTATCTTCATTGATGAAATCGATTCTTTATGTGGTTCCCGAAGTGAAAATGAAAGTGAGGCAGCTCGGAGAATTAAAACAGAGTTTTTGGTTCAGATGCAAGGTAAGATTATTAAAGTACTTTTAATACTTGATTACTTGATTAGAGTACTTTAAAGCATGAGTGTATATTACATAATGACTATAAAATACAGTGGTGTTTAATGAGACTACATGCATCAGTGTGTTTAATATATAATATGTGGAGCTGAAAGTTTTATGGTATATTTATTTTGTAACTACTTTATGAAATATATTCTACTAATGGGCACTTATTAAATTCATTTGTTTTTTTAGGAGTTGGAACAGACAATGAAGGAATTTTGGTTCTTGGAGCTACAAATATCCCTTGGGTTCTAGATTCTGCCATAAGGAGGAGGTAAAGAATTAACTTCTCTCTTATGGTTTGAGCCAGAATGGCTCGTGTTTCAGAGCAATTTGGACTGGAAAACTGATTTTACATCACAGTTAAAACATTTCCTTGTTTATGTAAACAGCAGATTTTTTGACATCAGCATAAATGGTGTGTTATTTTATCAATATCAAAAAAGGGCACCAGGGTAGCATTATTATTATTATTATTATTATTATTATTATTATTATTATTATTATTTATTCAATTTATATACCGCCCTTCTCCTATTGGACTCAGGGCGGTGCACAGCCAAGGATAAAAAACATACCAATACAAAATTTAAAATCAATTAAAAGAATTATAAAGCTTTGGCCCACAATTTAAAACAATCCAATTAACGTTACATTCTTATAATAAATAGCAATAGCCCTTAGACTTACGTGCCGCTTCACAGTGCTTTACAACCCTCTCTAAGCAGTGTACAAAGTCAACCGATTTAATTAATTAAATTTAATTAATTAAATTTATATGCCACCCCTCTCCGAAGACTCAGGGCGGCTGTTGGCCCCAACAATCTGAGCCTCATTTTACCTACCTCAGAAGGATGAAAGGCTGAGTCAACCTTGAGCCAGTGAGAATTGAACTGCTGGCAGTTGGCAGTAAGAAGAATGAGCCTGCAATACTGCATTCTAACCATTGTGCCACCACAGTGCAAGGATAGAACACTTTGTTCCATTTAACAGGAAAATTTCTCCATTAAAAACATTATTTTCGCATAACAGGAAGCAGTGACTAAAAGAAAACTAGGACTGAAGCTCAAACTTGGCAAATAATACTGGAATTATTCTGCCTTAATTCTTATTCCCAGTTCTGGTTGCTGATCCAGGAATGTTATACCCCAAGCGACTCCTTAGATTTAGTTCTTTATTTGCTGTCTTGCAAAAATTGTGTTGATAACTTGTTTAATTTAGATTAATAAGAGGGACGTGACCGTCAGTTCATTATTTGAAATGTGTATTATGGGCATGGATAAGAGTTAATATTTCTGATTTTTTTAAATAAGGTTTGAGAAGCGGATTTATATTCCCTTACCTGAAGATCATGCAAGAGCTTCAATGTTTAAGCTTCATCTTGGGACTACTAAAAATACCTTGTCTGAATCAGATTATCGGGAACTTGGAAAGCGAACTGATGGCTATTCAGGGGCTGATGTTAGCGTCATAGTGCGTGATGCTCTAATGCAACCAGTTAGGAAAGTTCAATCAGCAACACATTTTAAAAAAGTGAGTAGCTGGATTTCTTTTTTCTTTTTTTTTTGTCAAGAATAACAAAAATACTGCCTAAGGGACCTGTTTTCTGATTCCATGTCTCTGAAATGCAGCATGAACTCAAGATTTCCTCATCTCAATCTAATTTTTTAAAGTTTATTTCAGTTTTAAGAATTAGGGCCTGTTTCTAAATCTCAGATCTCTTGGGAGAGGAACTGTTGGAGATGCTAATGAGAGAGTTAAATAAAATATCCTGCCTTGCCCAACCTCTCTATCTACTACCTCTTAGTTCTTTTACTACTACTATTATAGGGGTATGTTTGGTTTGGAAATATATTAGTGTTTACTAGTTTTGGCAATGTACAATGGCATAGTACAAAGATGGCAGAGAGGTTGATACCAATATATACTAATATATACCTGATTTACTTTTAATAGCAATAGCACTTAGATTTATATACCGCTTCATAGTGTTTTTACAGCCCTCTCTAAGTGACTTTACAGAGTCAGCATACTGCCCCCAACAATCTGGGTCATTTTACCCACCTTGGAAGGATGGAAAGCTGAGCCAACCTTGAACCTGGTGAGATTTGAACTGCTGAACTGCAGCTGGCAGTCAGCTGAAGTAGCCTGCAGTACTGCACTCTTAACTACTGCGCCACCTCACCTCTTAAGCTTAAAACTGAAGTTTAATCAAAATGTCCCTGGTTAGATTGGAATGACTTTTAAAATTTGTTCCATTCTTCAATAAATTTATTTCTAATATTATTGAGCATTACAATATTACTACCCCATGTGGGAGAAAGCGTATTTTCCAACCTATTCTTCCATTTCCAGCATTTTGGGGGGAAAAGAGCTATTCATTTAGCAATTATGACTTGAATGGCAATAAAACATCTTGTACCAGTTTTCTCTAAGTATAACATTTGAGGTGTTCTTGATGTTATTCTTCCACTGAAATTGTTCCATATCTACAACTATATTCATATTTTGTTTGTATTTAATAATAACAGATGTTTACCTCTTTCGGTTCAACTGAGTTCTATGTAGTAGATTGTACCTTAACAGAAATTGCTAAATGTTCACTATTAAATGTTCAGAATGAATTAGAAGATTTTCAAGTTCAGTTAAATTCTGAACAGTCTCCCTCACTTCCACGGTTTTCTTGTTGCAGTGCTGCTGATTTGAGAATATTGAAAATAACTGAATGTGGAAGAGTTTTGTATAACAAAAGACTCAAAAGTCTTTTGAATAACAAAAGTAACAAAAGACTCTTACTCTATTAATAATAACGTATTGTAAAGTACACAATTGTCTCTCTATCGAGCAATTTTTTTATTTTTCAATTGTTCATAAAAGTAGACATTCAGCAAGGAACCAGAAGCGATAAGTCTAGGTTTATTATTTCTTATATTTAACAAATGTAAGAAAGTTCTTCATGTACCATATTTCTTGGAGTATAAGATGCCTCAGACTATAAGAGACTTTTTTGGGGAAGAAAACAAGAAAAAAAAATCTGCCTCCCAGCAATTTGCCTCATTGCAGCAAAGGCAATCCCTGCAGCCTGAAACAGCTGATGGTCAGGAGGCCGATCCAACCGACAATCAGCTGCTTGTGCTAATGAGGCTGAGCTGAAACTGAAACGGGCTGTTTGCTGCAAGGAGACAAATGCTGGGAGGCAGAGGCCAAAGGATGGAGGCCGGCAGGTGGTCGGGGCTACATTCAGTGTATAAGACGCATCCAAATTTTCACCCTTTGGGGGGGGGGGGAGTGTGTCTTATACTCCAAAAAATACGGTATATCAACCGACATATATCTGCGGACTCTGTAGAAGGTCTTCTTTCCATTTTGAAGCCTATATGACACAATTGGCATAATAATATGATCAGCTAGGCCACCTCATTTCTTTTTGTAGATTGCTGATTGTTGAATCTAATGCTTGGCTTTTTATTTGACCATATACTTCTGTGTTATAATTATCTATACCTTGTTATCAATAGGAGTTGGAATAATACGAAATTTTTAAAAAAGTCTTGGTAAAAATATTGAACTTTTTGCCGCAAGTTTTCTTAACCAGGACGAATGTAATTTCTTTCATTAAGATCAAATGAGTTACATAATGTGTTTCCAAACTGGTAAATAATTGTTCTTGAATAGGGTTTTTTATTTTGTCAGAGAGTTCTGTATATTTAATCTTTTTATCAATAATGTTAAAGCTGGTTAGACAAAAGATTAAAAGTAATTTTTGTATTTGTTTTGTTACTATTTTTGTCAAAGAGATTTCTATATATTCAATCTTTTTAGGAGCAGTGTTAAAGCTGGTTAGACAAATGATGTTACACCTGTATCGATTAACTATTATTCTTCTTAATTGTATACACCTCAAAATATTTTCAGTTCTGACCTCAAAATTCTTGTTTGTTTCAAAGGTGAAAGGACCATCGCTATCAGATCCCAATGTTCTAGTAGATCTCTTAACCCCATGTTCTCCAGGGGAACCCAATGCCATTGAAATGACATGGATGGAGGTACCAGGAGATAAGCTTCTGGAACCTGTTGTTTGTATGGTCAGTATTTATTTACTATGAATGTTTTGACTTTGGCCTGCTGTAGCATCTTAGAATAAAGATCACAGATTCAATCAGGGCCTATTTTCAGAAATCTCAAATATCTTCTAAATACTTATGGACTGCCAAAAGTGGTATGACAGATTGCAAAGCATGCCTGGCTCAGAACAAATGGAACCCTATACTTATCCTGATAAACCCTGCACAGACTGAGCACCTCCCTCTTGTGTTTTGGTGCATGTCCTTTTTTATATCTGAAAATCAAGAACTTTTGTGTATGTTTGTCATTCTGTATCAATTTATAAATCCTAATGGCTACTATTCTAGCTCACAATCACCCTATAGACAAACTTTGAAGCTGGGTGTCAGGTTCCAAGTAATGCATCCTTCACAAATTGAACCCTGAGGCATTCTTTTTCTCAAAGCACAAATTTATTTAGATACACCATATTGGGACTAACTAGTGAAAAGCCAGTACTAAAGTTCCCGGGCTTTTCACATCAGTATAAGTTTCAGTTTTATCAAGTTTCCAAAACAATCAGTCACATTGTCCAACCAAGATGGGATCTGGTTGCTTGGTAACTTCTCTCATCCTCCTCCAGTCAGCAAGCCATTGGAATATACATGACTCATTGGCTAGTTATGCTGTGGATGCTGAAGGCTCCAAGCTATGTCAAACTGAATTAACGTTAGAACACTCCAGGACACAAACAATCTCACACCCACTTAAAATCCAGGCGTGACACTGAGATTATTATTACTATTATTTTAATTAAAACTCATGACTGTGAGCATATTTAATAATCCTGCCTCCTGTTTCCCTACCATAACAATCTTTGAGCTGATTTGAGCGAGAGAGAGAATGACTGAGTTACACAGATAGTTTTCATGCCTAAAGTAGGCCTAGAATTCAGTGTCCTGTTTCTAGGCCAACACCTTTACCACTATACCAAACTGGTTCTTTATATTACATACAGTGCATGTTTATGCATAAGTACATAGGAACATATTGTGTCAAAGTAGATAACAATCATTTTACTTAGTTGCTCTGATTTATCAGTAATTCAAGATTCAAAATGAAGTCTTTTTGAGTCTTTGAAAATGCTAATAATTGAACTGAAAATCTTTTTTACACAAATCAGGTATGGTACCAGATAAGGTTTTTTTAAATTGTATGGTGTAATTTATGCATAATATTAAATTATTAAGCATTATTATACTTAATAATTAAGAATTCTCAGAATTCTAATTCTCGGAATTCTGTTCTGGAATTTTGAGTTAACCTTAAAACTTAAATGATTCGTGAATTTTTGCTATCAGAAAGCTTCTAAAGATTGAATATTAAATATGGGATGTAATAATGTAGGCCAAAGAAGATTAATAATTCAAGATTCTTACTCAAAAACCTACTGCATTGTTATTTAGAATTAGGTTTCTTGCATAGCAACTCAACACTGTGATGTGGATTTGTAATAAGCTATGCAAATTATCCAATCTGCAACGTAATTTTCAGTTTCTGTTGAAAATATTTGTGAAATGTAGCCCTCATCCACGGAAAGATTTTCTACCTTTGGCTTATGGCATAACAAGTTTCAGGATCCCAATTAAATTATGGCTTAATGTGTTGTATGAACTCAGTGATTTAATTTCCTCAACTAGAATTACAGTCATATGCAAAAGTAAGTACACCCCACTGATTTTTTTAACTTTTTCAATATATTTAAATATACAGATATTTGATCATTTCAAGAATAGTAATAGATAAAGGAGATATAATAAATACGTAAGAGCCATGGTGGTTCAGTGGTTAGAATGTAGTATTGCAGGCAAACTCTG